GTGGTTTGGAGTGGGGGGAGAGAATTACATGTACCCTGAACCGAAGTTGGGAATCGGGGGGGGGGGTGAGTTACATCGTTATTTGTGCAACACACAGACGTCCAATTTTAACGTTCAATAGCTCTTTAGAAAGCTGAATCTTAAGCTTTAAAACGATATAAAATAATACAACCAATACTCGCAGAAATTGCCAACTTACGGATTTTGAGCGCGGCGAGATAATTATACCCAAATTATTGAGAAACTGCTTAAGTATGTCATAGTTTCTATGCGGATAAGCACTTAAAATTGCAAGTACATGTAATGATAATGTAATTATTTCATATAGATTATTAAAGCCGGGTGGGTATTTTGAAATTACAGAGACAGAAATAAATTTCTCTGATTGTGGACCAAATTTCACACGAATGATGAATATATGTAAGTTTTAATAATTACATTTATATGCACTTCTCATTTTGTATTTAACAGTTCTGTAACTATAATTTAATACTCAGTTGTAAATGAACTTGAAGTTAGTGATGAGTTTGTCCTAAATCTCGAAAGGATTTTTCTCGCCACTGGTCAATTAACAAACATTCAACAGGAAAAACGAGTAACAAAACTTGGCCCTTCTGGTGGTTTCACCGGAGAACTATATTTGTCTTTTGCAGAAGAATTTTTTAATGGTTCTATTGGCGAGCTGGTAGGCGAGTTAATGGCCATGTCTCAAAAAGAATACAAGCAGTTTTGGCAGCAATGCAAAACCGAGTGTATTGAATTGGGAACTGGAGTTCCAATTAAGAGAGTTTGGGGACAGAAAAAGTATCATATGGAAAATTAATAATTCTAAAATTTAAAATAAATTATAGGCATAAGTGTATTATAATGTAAGGTAATATTCTTTAAACTTAAGCAATATTCTCTTTTTTTCTTTAAAAATATATGTAATAAACTAAAAAGTTTGAGTTTATATTGAGTGGAATTTATTATGCATGTAGACTGTTTTAGACCTCAAATCGTTGCATTAATTGTCTGTTGCATCACTTTCATTCTCAATATGCAGCTAAACATCACACAATGCAAAAAGCATGTGTGCTTTTTGCTTGGCACGCAGTATTCATCAGGAAATGCATGTTAATAAGTATTTAAATAATGAGAATTGTTGCAGATGTTGTATCCAAATCACAATTGGATCATTCAACAATTCGTAAATAACTAGAAGAAATCAAACAAGTAATAACAAAGCACTTGGAAAGATTTTGTCCAAAAGACTTTTAGATTATTAATATTGAACAAGAAGTACATCAGAATGAATTTAGCTTATAGTGATAACAAAAATTTGTTAAGTTTATAATCTTGAAAGGTTTTTTATTTTTATATAATGAGCTATTTTAGTTAATTTTTTTATTTTTTATTGGGATAAATTTTTTTATTGTTATAAATTATTCTTTTTATTATACCTTTATTATTAAAATTTACTTTTTTATTATATAATTATTTCAATAAATCTTTTTTCTTTATAATTGTGAATTTTTCTTTTTCATATTCTTTTAATATTATATAATTTCTCTTTTTTATAATTTTCTATTTTTAATAACCATTTATATAATTATATTATAAATAAATATAATATAAAATTAATTATACAATATAATTTATTAATATTATAAAAATTATAATTATTATAATTATAAGAATAATATTTTTTTATGTTAATCAAATATATTATTCAAAATATAATAAACAAGATATTTACTAATTTTCTTTATATTATTATAGATTATTATATCTGAATATAGAATTATTTAATTATTAAATTAATAAATATTTAAATAAAATTTTTATTTATTAAAAATTTTCATTTTTTAAAATTATATTAAAAAATATATGATTATTTATTATTTTATATTAATTATAATACATTATTATTTAATTTTTTTATATATAACAATTATAAATATTAATATATATATATATATATTTTTTACTCTTATTTATATAATAATTAAAAAATTAAAAGTTTATTAATTAGTTATAATATTTATAATTTTATAAATTAAAAATTAAGTATTTTGAAGTTTTTGAAAATAAATAATATAATATAAATTTAAATTTTATAAGTTTTTATAATTTTATTTTATTATAATAAAAGTTAAATTTTAAATTTAATTTTTAATATAAATAAAAATTATAAAAATAATTAAAAATAATATAATATTTTAATTTTTTATTAATTATAATTAGTAAAATATATATTTTTCTTTATATATAAAATTTTTAATTTTATTAATAAATATTTTTTAAAATTCTCTAGTTTAATATATATTTTTTTCAGATTTTTTACTAGTAATTTATATATATTATATATATAATTAATTAATTTTTATTACTAATAAATTTATTTAATATTATTAAAATATTAAAAATTTATTAATAAAAGTTCAAGATTATTAATTAAAATATATTAATTAATTATTATTATCAAGAGTTTAATATTGAAAAATCAAGTCTTATTATAAATATATAATATAATTAATCTTATAAATAAATAATAATTTAATAAGAAACTTATATCAAAATATATTAAATTTTTTATTATACTTTTTAATATTATATTATTTATTATATATAAATTAGATTTATTATTATATATAAAAATTTATTCTCTTATATCTTACTATTAAAATTATATAATTTAAATAATAATAAAAAAATTTTATATTTAATATTATTATTAGTATTAATTATATTAAAATTAAAAATAAAGAATTAAAATTAAATTCATCTCAAATAAAAGAATTATTTATAATAAATCTTAATATTTAATTAAATAATTTCTTTATAAAATTATTTAAAAAATTTTTATAATATTATAAATCTTATTAAATTTTTTAAAATATTTATATACAGTGGCAATAAAAAATAATGCAACGCTTAAATTTTTTACTAATTATAATTAGTAAAATATGTATT